ACAAATCCCAAAACAAGTGCAAAAATTAACCGCGACGATAACCTCGTGAAATTACAATCCCAAAACGCAAAATAAATGATTGCGACGATTACTCACATGATTACAACTGAAAAATGACAATACGAGCAAATGGAATATTAACAAACCGAAATAATTAAGAATTAATGATGGTTAAACGGTAACTGAAACGGCTAGATCAAAAGCTATGATTTTGTATTTAACAGGAAGAACCACTTTAATTTTCATGCTTTGATCAAAGGAAAAAAATGTTTTAATTTTATTAAAGAAAATTATTTTAATTAAGGTCTTAAAAAAAGTTTGTTTTATTTTTATGTTTTAATTAGAAAAAATATTTTAAATTTAAAAAACTTTGGTTTTAAGGTTTAATTGAGAAAATTAGTTTTAATTTTAATATTAAGTTAAGGAGAGAAAGTTTTTTTTTTGTTTTAATGTTTGATTAAAGAAAAACCTAATTTTAATATTAAATTAAGACAAGAAATGAAATTAATTTAAATGTTCAATTAAGAAAATGATTTTGGTGATTTTGACTAAACTTTTGATAAAATTAATAAATTAGTTTTTTTTTTGAAATCCTTAATAATCCACTTAAATATTATTACATTAAAAATAAAATAAGCAAATGAATAAAAGAAAGAAAAAAAAATCAAAAAAATAAAATAAAAGGTCAAGACATAAAAACCAACGGATCCATTGGCCCATTAGGATTCTGTCTCGTTTTTCTCTCTTCTTCTTCCCTACCCTCATACCGCCGCAACCATTGTTATGCTCTCGGAGCTTCTCCTCCCTCTCGTTTTCGATTGCATGTTTGGTATCCTCCTTCTTCTTCCTCGCATGTACCTGAAAACAAACCCAAAATGAGTTATTGAAACACCAACCTTACCGATGGCAGACGTTCTCGCAACGATGATGGAGACGACGATTTTTGGCCGGTGATGAGATCTATGAGGTCGGTGGTCGGTTGCCCGTTGGTAGTAACGGCGTTTAGTTGTTGCTCACGCGACCGCCGTCTGTGATTTTCTGACCGTGTTGGCTTTGATGGATCTTCTGCTTCTTTCAAACGAGTGATGATGATGAAATCCTATCGGATTTCTCTGAACCCAGCTTGATTGCGCCGCCGCTTTTCTTCTTAGGGTTTTGGATCCCCCTTCTGAACTTTCTGAGATGACCTTATATGTTTGATTTATTTTTGGGCCAGATTTTCTTCTAACTTATGTTGAGATTTTCATGGAACAAAAGTGGCTTTCCTTTGCTGGCATGCGGTAATCGTGGCATTTTTAGTTGTTGCGTGAATGTTATGAACTGGAAGCTTGTTGTGGATTTTTCCAGAAAAATTGTCCCTGATTGTTCGCTTGAACTTGTTGACTGGATTCGTTGGATTTTTCAGAAACTCTAGAAAGTTGTTAGGCTGTGTTTGGAGAAATCACTTTTGAAAATAAGTGCTTTTCCAAAAAGCACTTTTTTGGATAAGCACTTTTTCCAAACCAGCTTTTCTCTAAAGCACTTTTTATTTCTCTCTCTCTAGTTACCTTAAGAACAGAAGCTGCCTGAACCTAGCCGAAGTTACGAAATAAGTCGAGAGCTGGTTTCGGAGTAATCTGTTACCCTCCCGACACACGATGATGACAATGCTCTAAGGGTGTCAGATAAACTAACCGATTAAATTTTGTTCTTTATCTTTGCAGGTTCGGAGACATCGGAAGCTCGGGAAAAGTTGAAGAAATCAGAGACATTTAGGAATTTAGGAATTTTTTATTTTTTTTATTTTTTTATAGAAATTTTTATGTAATCATGAAAAAAATGTAAATTGATTTTAGTTATAAATGAAAAATGAAAAATTATTATTATGAAATGTATGTTTTTATTATTACCTTTCCTTTTTCTTAAAATGAAATGAAAACCATAAAGAATGAAATGATAGTCAATAAAATAAAATCATTTAAAAATAAAAATAAGAACAAATATATGAAAAATGAAGTGGAAACAAATATTTAGAATAAAACAAAATTATTTAAAAAATGCAATGATGATAAAAATTGAAATAAAATAATTGATTTAAACTAAAAGGAAAATGACATCAAGAAATGAAATGAAATTAATTTAAAATGAAATGAAAATAATATGACATACCATTGATGAAATGAAAATGAAATAAAATCCCAATTTTTTTTTATTAATTCCTAATTCCTCCAATTTATCCGACTAAACCCGTCTCCGACATAACTTCGACTAAACTTTTCGGCAACTCAAAGGAAACCTTATCCGAACAAATCTAAATCGTCTGATTAAACTCAAATGATCATACTCCCCCGACTAACTTCATCCAGATAAATTGAACTGATTTAAACCACCCGGCTCAAATCCTCCACGATTAAACTCTTCCTATTAACCCCTCAGTCTCATAAATTGTCAGTAGGCTGCAACTAAATGACCATTTTGCCTTTCATAAGTTAAAGAGCGCACAATGTGACTTTCTCTACAAAACCAAACAGACTGAGCAAACTGGTTAGCCGTTAGATAAAATGCAGTGCAGAATGATATGAAAATGCGAAATGAACCTACTAATCTCGGGGCAAAATTTGGGGATATTACAACCAGTCTACCAAATATTTGTCATCTAATTCAGAAGGCATCAATAGCACAGGTACATCATCAGACTCTCCTCTGGTTGACCAACAATCAGCAACAAAGTGGTCAAACTTCTTACAACAGTAACATTAAACCTTCTTCTTGTCAAACTTATCTTTTCCCTTCTAATGGTTATTCTCATCAAAGTTGGAGGTTTCTGACTTATGATAACCACCATTGTCTCCCTTCCTGACCTCTTTCCATGATTACTTCTGATTCTTCTTACTAAAAGACATTTTTAGAGCCTGCTCTACCTCTCTTTAAGAGTTTCTCTTAGTCAGATGCGGCTCTTATACCTCTAGACTACTCTACAACTCTTCAATTCTCATGGTGTTGAGGTCCTTAGAATGTTAAATTGCTACAACAATGTAATCAAACTGAGGAGTAAGTGATTTCAATACCTTTACAATAATTACTTATTTAGAGAGAGTTTCTCTACAAGATTTCATCTCATTTGTGATCAGAATCACTCTAGAGATGTAATCAGGTAGTTTCTCATTGTTCTTCATGTTGAGATTCTCATCCTACTTACATAGAGATTGAAGCTTCACCTTCTTCACTGATGCATCACCATCATACCACCGTACCAGTGTGTCCCACAAAGCTTTTTCCATTTTTGGATCAACTATATTCTCAAACACATTCATATCCACACGCTGATGAACATAAAACAACGCCTTATGATCCTTCTTCCTCGTTTCTTTATGCGTGTTTCTTTGTGCTTCAGTTGCATCTGTTGCAACCGGCATGTAATTGTCATTAACGAGATCAAAAACATCTTGAGCGGCAAACAAGACACGCATCTGAATCATTCATCGATTCTAATTCTTTCCATCAAAGACTGGAAGCTTTATGTTCAAGCTACCATTTTCGTCGTTCATCTTCCTTCTTGTGCAAATTCACTCATTAACTCACCAACACTCATGTTTCCCAATCCATTAGAATCAATAAGTGTGGCTCTGTTTCGATTTAGATTTTCAATTCACTGTGAATTAAATGAGTAGAATCAATCACACACGCCTCACGTACACTCGTGTTTCCCGTTCCTGAATTTGAACTGAAACTCTAAATACCAATTATTGGTGGACAAAGTTGAAGATGAAGAAGATGAAAAGAGAGAGAAAATTTATAACTAACTTTTAATACAAAAGATTACAATCAAATTCTATTACAATTGAGATTCTGTTAAATATTTAAACTATCAGAGTCTCTAAATAAAATTTAAATGCAAACCAAATTAAATGCAAATGAACCTAAATCTGAATTACAACTAACAAGTTTGACCCAAACAAAAATTTGATAGGGAATCTATTCTCTTTAGGGGTGGCAAATGGGAAGGCACACTCTGTTTAGGGGTGTCCTACAAAACTCACAAGAAAACAAGTGGAACAAACATAGTTGAGGGGGCAAGACCCATTTTGCCACCCCAAATTTTCGTAATGTGTCGACATGTTAACTTCACCAACAAATTAATATTTAGTAGTTGTAAATATATTTTGATGGTTTTATTAAAATACAAAACAATTGAACTTTCAAAAGCTTAATGTATTTAGTTTGTAAGTATAGTTTTTATTTTGAAAAATAACTATTAAATTAGTATAATTTATCTAAACAAGACACAATTTACATTAAAAAACACGATAACAATTAATGTAAGTCTTGTCATACAACTTATAATACTAATCTTTCATCAATTCCAACAAAATTTGTGTTTAAATTAAATATAAATACGAAAGCTAATTAAGATTATGTACTTAATACTCATTCCATTTTAAAATGATTGTAGTTTTAGTAAATTAAATTTATTTTAAAATAAATATTATTTTCATTTTTTAATGTAAAAATAACTGTTCTTTTTTCAATTGTGTCATTTAATTATTTTTTTTATATATTATTTTTAATATATTTGTAAAATTAATTTAGTAAAATTTTAATATTTTATGACAATATTATTATATCTCTTAATATGTATGTTAAAACTTTAAATGATAGTAATTTTTAAACGGACCAAGTAATATTTTTCGACTTTCACATATCATAATCATAATTTAATGCTAATATATGCTATAAAGGCACAAGTTAAAAGTTTAATGTAGATTTTTTTTTATAGAAATTGTGCATTATTTTAGTTAAAAGTTGATAATTAAGTTTTTTTATTGTTTTTTCTAATAAAAAACTTTCATTTTTAAGTGTTTTAACATGGGCTCAAGGGCGCATATTTGCATTACCCTTTTAATATTAGGAAGATATAATATAAATTATGATTTTGATATTATATATTTTTATTGTCAATTTATATTACAATCTTTATTAAGGATGAATAACTGTTTTATTGAATAAAGTTGTTAATATATTCATATATTGCAATTTCGTCCTCCTGGCCCGCCATAAAGAAAAGCTTGTCGATATACAGATCCTTCATAACCACGATATGCCAAATCATAACAATTTGAATTACTATTTGTATACTTCTTCATATCTTCGGGTTTAATGTCACGTTCATTATATTCCGAATCAATAATCTCTAGTAATCCCATGAATCCTGAGTTTTTTAGTTTTTCTTTAGGTAGTCTCCCACTACCCATGGGAGGATTATCCTTATTAGGCGGGGCATATGTTTGACCACCAAACCTTATTAAAGATGCTCCTTTTCTTAAGTGAGTGAATAATTCTTTTGGCCAATATCCTGTATAGATTGCTTCATCTTGAATAATTAACCACCAATGACCGGTAGATCGGTCCTATATATATTTCAGCCATTAACATAATATTAGTCAAGTTACTAGTAAATCATATTAATCAATCATAGTAATATTATTTAAAAAACATTAAATCATAATGAAATTGTAAACATTTTTGGTTTTCTATTTTATTAATTTTGTTTTATCAATATTGTCTTCAATTAATTTAATTATCAATTTAATAAAATAAAAAGTCAAAGAAATATTAAAATTAATTAAGAATAAAAAATTATTTTAAAAAGTCGTAATCTTGATTTAATAATTTGTAAAAAAGTTATTTAAATATATTTTTAATACATTTATAGTGAAATTTTTACCTGTTTAATTTTGATAAGACCATATACTTTTGTTGTTGATCCAATTGAACTAACAGGATGTATAACAGATCCAAGAGCATATTCTTTATTATGATTAACTTGCACAAAACCCGAGCAAAGAGTATTGTAACATCCAGTTTTTTTGAAAGCATCTGCCTGCATGTTTATATCAAAGTGAGCTTAACATAATCAAATTATGTATTTTTATCATATTATTTTTTAAAAATTCGTTAATGTATTCAATCTACATTCTTACCGTCCAATGACCTGTTAATCGTACTTGATTGTCTCCGTATAAATGAGGATGAACCTTAAACATCAAAAATTAAATGTGAGAGTTTTCTTATTCAATATAATACACACAAAAATATGAACTCATCAAATAAAATTGAGAAATAAACTATTTCCCTTTCTCAAAATGTATTGTGATATATATTAAGAAAAGAATAAAACTTAATAAAAATAACTCACCCCGAGTCCGACTTTTATGCTATTAAGTTCCATTGAGGGTCCACTTTCTAGCCATATAGAAGATAAACTGAATTGATTTGCTTGAAGCGATAAATTATATGCACCTATACCTGCGGATGCTCCGCGAAATATCACGTTTTGGGTTGTGTCAAGAGTTACCGTCTAAAGAATACAAAATATAAATAATTATATTGAACTGACATTTCAAATGTTTATAATATTAATACATATCTATTCAATCAAAGTACTGGTATTGACTTAAAATAATCACTTACATGATAGCTCCCAGAGTTTTTAGAATATTGCTTAATATTGTCTGTATGTAACCTTGAAGATGAACTAGTAATAGTTTCATGTATTTGTGTCTTGTTGTAAATAGGTACTTTTCCTGGTGAGCATGCATCCATAGTTTTACCAAAAGATGCTCTACTTTGCGTGATGTTCTTTGCAAAGGTTGGGTAAAGCTGAATAAAAAATAAAATAAATGTTTATTAATCATATGTTCAAAATTATACGTCAATTAATATTTCATTAAATGACAAATATATTTCACATGGGTCATAGTAACGAATATCTCAAGAATATTCTTTACATTGTATATACTCCTTTGTGTTTGAAGAAAATTCCAAATATACACGTTATTTACAATTTTTTTATTAATAGTAGTAGTAAGGAAAATAATTATCGGAGTTAAAATATAATAAAAAAGAGAAAATTTATAAAAAATATTATTCCTTTTATTTTTTATTATAAGTCTTTTTTTTTTATTTTTCACACATATTAAAAAATATAATATTAAAGAGAAAAGATTAAAAATATTATTATTTTTATTGTTGGTCAAGCAATATCCATTAAACACTCTAAAAAGATATTGCTGAGATTTAATGAGAGAGAAAAAGTAGGTTGATTTTAAATTTTTGTATCTCTGGTTCTTTTTATTCGGAAATTTAAATATTAAATTCATCAAATACTTTTTATATATATATATATATATATATATATATATATATATATATATATATATATATATATATATATATATATATATATATATATATATATATATATTCTAGATACATTAGTCTTTTAATGAATTAAAAAATAAAAAGTTTTTATTAAAAAAATATTTTTATTTAATACACTTAAGACTATTAAATGCATTAAGACTATTTTCTTTACTTTGTATATACTCCTTTGTGTTTGAAGAAAATTCCAAATATATATGTTATTTACAATTTTTTTATTAATAGTAGTAGTAAGGAAAATAATTATCGGAGTTAAAATATAATAAAAAAGAGAAAATTTATAAAAAATATTATTCCTTTTATTTTTTATTATAAGTCGTTTTTTTTTTATTTTTCACACATATTAAAAAATATAATAATTATAAAATAAAAATTAAAAATTACGAAGAATTTTACAAAATTGTCTTTCATTAATGATATTGGAAAAACAAATTTACATAATTAAAATGAGAGAATAATAAATATTAAAAGATATAATAGAAAAAATAACATTAATGCTTTATTAATATCATAAAGCGATTTATATTATCACACAAAAATATTTTCTCAAAATTACTTATAATAAAAAACATTATAATAGTAAATATTTCACTAATATTTTAAATATATAATAAATAACAAAACAATTATTATGATACAGGAGTATCTTTCAATTTGCCGCATTCATTAAATTTAGTCAAAGAATACTAATGAGATTTAATAAAAAAATAAGTTAGATTTATTTTGAATGATAAATAAAAAAGATAAAATTACTTTATTTTAATACTTTTAAGATTATTCTCATAAAAAAAATATTATTAAAAGCATTTAAAAAGTTGACTATTTTTTCTTTAAATATTCACTCATATATTGTTATTCAATATGCATGTATCTATTGAATACACTCAAACAAAAACACTTATTCCCTTTGAATCATATTAGGTGTTTTTTTTTAGATTTTCACATTTTAAAAATAATAATTAATTGTGTTAATTTTAATAATAAAATGAAAATTATTTATTAAAATAAATTTATTAATAATAAATTATAGAATAGTTATATAAATTAAAATACAATAGATAAAATAAACTAGTAAAAATAAATAATAAATATTATATTAATATTTTTAAAAATTAAATAACTTAAACCAAATTAAAAAATACACATGCTAAGACACAGGGGGAGTATAAGATCTAATAAGGAAAAAAAAGCTATGTTAATTTAAAACAACAAATGAAAGAAAAAAAAACAGAAAAAAAAAAACTTTAATTTAATGCATTTAAGGTGATTAAATGCATTTAGAAACTTTGACGCTCTTCTTTCTATATATTTTATCCATCTATGTGTCGATGTCTTTAATATATAGTTTCAAAATTTTGATGGTCTTATCTACCAAAATAATTTTTAAAATATATTTTCCAAAAAACTTTATTTAAATCTATATATAAGAATGAACCATGAAATGTTATTATTAATTATTAATCAATCAATTAGAGATAAAAGTTATTGAATAAGTGGAAACTTATTGGAATCGACCAAAATTCCTAAAAATGGGTGAATAAATATTATTTTTTAAATTGTAGGTGGGTTAAATATTTGTTTTTTTTCTATATATATATATATATATATATATATATATATATATATATATATATATATATATATATATATATATATATATATATATATATATATATATATATATATATATATATATATATATATATATATATATATATATATATATATATATATATATATATATATATATATATATATATATATATATATATATATATGCTTTGATCAAAACTTTTTAACAATTTTTTTAAAAATATGTGAGTTCTGTTTGTTTTATTAATAGTAGTAAATAAAATAATTATGAGAGTTGAAATATAATAAAAATTAGAAAACTTATAAAAATTATTAATAAATATTTCACTGATATTTTGAATATAATAATAAAACAATTATTAATATAGAAATATCTTCCAATTTTCCGCATTCATTAAATTTCGTCAAAGAATACTTATGAGATATAATAAAAAAAAGTTTGATTTATTTTGGATGACAAATAAAAAAGTTAAAAATTACTTATTTTAATACTTTCAAGATTATTTTCATAAAAAAATATTTTTTAAAAGCATTTAAAAGATTGACTATTTTTTTTCTTTGAATATTCACTCATATATTGTTATTCAACATTAGGAGTGAAAATAAGACAGACCAACTAACAGGAATCTATGGCCTATTTTAAATAGGCTCAGGTTAGGCCAAATTTTTTTTAAGGGTAATGTTAACTTGTGCCCTTAGGGCACATGTTAAGAAAACCACTTATAGTAAATTTGCATTGGAAAAAATGATTTAAAAATTAATTTTATATTTTAATTAAAGTTTATACACAATTTCCAAAATAATGTTTCTTAATTTAGTTCTTAACATGTGCCCGAAGGGCACAAGTTAACATTACCCTTTTTTTAAATAGAAAAAATCTAGATTTTTTTATAAGTCTATTTAACTAAAGAGGCTAGATTACATGCTGTAAAAAAAGTCTTTTAAACCTATCAGTCCGACTTATTTATAAAATATTCAATAAATTTATTATTATTATAATGTATTTTGTATTTTAAATTAAAATACGAAAATAAAACTTAGTTATTTTGAACAACTTATGAAAATAAGTTGAAAAAATATTATAAACAATGTCATAAGTTTTTGTCATAATTTTTTTTCATAAATTATCTCCAACAAATATTATCACCAAACTTATACTAATAGATAAACTTGAATGAGATAATGAAAACAAACATATAGTCTCAATGATCTTTTAATTTGTTAGTTTATTTAATATTAGTTGAATTTCTTATTTACAAATATTCAAATAAAATATACTTTTAAATAGGCTAATAGGTCAATCAGACATTCAAAAATGTCAGACTTAAGCCTATGATAGGCTACGGGTCAATCTTAGGCTTTAAATTTTTTAGCATGTAAGACTCGGGTTTAACAAAGCCTAATTCGGTCCGACCTATTTTTATCCCTCGATCCCTTTGACTAATATTAAATGTTTTTTCAGATTTTCACATTTTTAAAATAATAATTAATTATATTAATTTTAATGATAAAACAAAAATTATTTATTAAAATAACATTATTAATAAAAAAGTGTAGAATAGTTAAATAAATTAAAATGTAAATAATAAGAGTAAACTAATAAAAATAAATAATAAATATTATATTAATATTTTAAGAAAATAAATAATTTAAAATAAATTAAAAAAGAACACCTGCTAAGACACCGGAGGAGTATAAGATTTAATAAGGAAAAAAAGCTATGTTCATTTTAAACAACAAATGTAAAAATAAATAAATAAATAAATAAATAAATAAAACTTTAGTTTAATGCATTTAGAAACTTTGACCCTCTTCTTTCTATATATTTTATCCATCTATGCGTTGATGTAGGAAATTTTACCCCATACTCCTACAATTATATCCATATTCCTACATTAATATTTTTTGGACCAAAATACTTTCAGTATAAAAATTTATAATTTTTTTCATTGGTTTACCGGAAGACTTTTTGCAAGTCTTCCGGTTCATATTTTTTCTTTTATTCATCGGAAGACTTTTTGAAAGTCTGCAGGTTCACTTTTTTTCCATCGAAAGACTTTTTGCAAGTCTTCCGGTTCATATTTTTTTTCATTTTTTTACCAAAAAACTTTTTAAAAATCTTTCGATTCATATTTTTTTTTAATTATAGGGGTATGAGGTAATATATAGTTTCAAAATTTTGATATTTTAATTTACAAAAATATTTTTTAAAATATATTTTTAAAAACTTTATTGAAATTTAAATACAAGAATGAACCATGAAATGTTATTATTATTAGTCAATTGATTAGGGATAAAGGTTATCGAACAAGTGGGAAAGAATTAGAAACGACCAAAATTCGTAAAAACAGGTGAATCAATACTTTAAGATAATTTTTGTAATAATTAATATATATATATATATATATATATATATATATATATATATATATATATATATATATATATATATATATATATATATATATATATATATATATATATATATATATATATATATATATATATATATATATATATATATATATATATATATATATATATATATATATATATATATATATGGAGCATATCAAATGATAACAATTACAATAAATTCAAAAAATAATAAATAAAGACTAATTAAGAACGCATAAGTTCAAAAAATAAAATAAATAAAGATTAATTACAATAAAAATAATAACGAAATAAACTCAAGCCCAATAAAATACATATCAAAATAAATAAATAAACAATACATATTATCCTAATTCTATTTAAATATTAACTACTAAAAAAACCTAATTAAA